CAATTATACGGAACCAGAGGAGGTGCGGCAATCGCAGCTTGAAAATCTGCGCGAAATTGAAGAGGCCCTGGATGCTGAATTTGGCGCCAGCAACAAATCGAGTGAATCGGACGGTGGATCAGACCTTTACTGCTTTTTTTGCGAAAAAGCATTCAAAACAAAGTAACTTATTATTAACATTGCAATAAAACGGCTGGTATCAAGTGGCCAAGTATTACTAGCAAGACTATTGATGTAATGTATACAGTGTTACCGGGATATACCTGACGAAACGGATAGCCGGATTGCTAGCAATAAGCTAACTACCAGGCGATGCAGCTTTGGTCAAAGCATCTGGAAAAAGCTACATCCGCGCATTTGAAGAATCATACTATGAATTATAAAAATCAAATTTTATATTGAAAAACACTGGAAATTTGCATTTTTTTTTTCAGGAAAGCACTCAGTAATCATGAAAAATCAAAGAAACACAAAGATACAGCAAATCTCTTGAGGAAGCATTTACAGGTACAGAAAAAGAAGCAACTCAATTTTTCAGCGTTGTCTTAAAACGTCAAAATGAAAACAGTATATTGCTTGGGCAATAATTTTTTGGCCCTACAGCTAAGCCCGTAATTCCAAGCCGTTTTTCTGTGGGCTTTCATATTGTTTGGGCAATAATTTCTTGATCACGCAGTTAAGCCTGTTATTCCAAGTCGTTATGATGTGGATTTTTCTAACCTCATTTATCCTCAATTAAGCAAATGCAGGGCGCGCCAGCCAATAAAAGCTGTGGCTCCAACTTACAAGTAAGACTCTAATCCTAATCACGCGTACTGCTTCGTTCCACCCACTAATTCCTAACACTTCTTACAATATTCTAAATAATTCCACACTTTACTTTGCCCACCGCCCCCCTCTTACTAACTCCCTTTACCCTCCTTTTCCTTTCATTAATTTACCCTTTATAAACCCCTCCCGAAAACCCTGGGGGTCGAAATCGTGAACCCAGCGCGCTCCACGCCTTGATACGACTAACGCTACCAACTGGCCGCCTCGATACGACTAACGTTCTCTCTCTGTTGGATAGTTTGTGCAATGCCTTGGCTCGTTCTACTGAAGTGAAGCTTTTGTGATAGTAAATAAGGCACTGACACTCTTCACTGTCTTCCGCTACTGCAGTCAAAGAGCACGCAGAGACCTAATTAGACAGCTGAATCCTCTTTTGACTTTTCCATCCTTTTTGGTGGTAAATTGGTGCTCCTGGGGCGTTAAAACCGGCATCAGCTTGCACTGCTGTAAGAAGGAGTCATTGACCGTTTGCCAGTATGTGGCTACTTTAGGCACTTGCTACCGATCGAACTGTTTCCAAGTATTTTGAAATTGAAATTTTGGTAGTTTACAATTATAAAGGATTGTGAAAAAAGATAAAAATGGAAACGTTAATGAAATAAATTAAAATCTGAATGGGAATGTTTCGGTCCATCAAGTCGCATACATTCCTGTTCAGTGCTGCAACTGGACCTCGTTATCCTCTTTTTATAGAGATTGAATATGGAAGAAGAGGTTATGACTTTGCCTTATTTTTGAATCGATTCTTTTCTTCTGTCTTAAGGATGATGATGCCGGTTTACTGCTAACTGCTGACGCACATCACAGTGAAGATGCATCAAAAGCAGAATGCGAAATGAATGGCGATCGAAAGAAATCAAAACGACAAAAAAGGAGGGAATTGAAAAGAGAAAAGGAGAACGAGGAGGAGGAGGAGGAAGAGGAGAAATTCGATTCCAACGGAGAGTACCGTGATATTGTAATCGAAGGGTACTGTCTTTTTTGGATTAACTAAAATTTTGCTTTTTCGGTTTTTCCCTTTTTTTTTGCGTAAGGCTTTTTATGCTGTTGAGTGTAGTTGATGGAAAGATTTCTAGAGGTGGAAAAGTGCATTGCAATGGAGTGGCCATTATTAAAAAGTTGTACGCATTCTTAATCCTTTTTTATGCGTTTTTTACAGCTATGCAATGCAAAAACGCATATTGTCGAGGGGTTGTCTGTGTGTGTGCGTGTATGTGTGTCTGTGTGTGCGTCTGTAACGACTTTTCATCTCGAGACCCACAAAAGCTACGAGACTGAAAATTTGGTGACTTAATCTAGGCATACGTGC